TCGGGCTTGGTATACCACATTTAGATCTGCACTATTGGAGTTTAGTTTTACCACATATGCTTACGACTCTGGTTTAATTTTTCATCGTTCTTCATCTGGGATAGTTATACTTTTGCTTTATGTTGATGATATGATCATTACGGGAGATGATGCATTTGGTATTTCTGGTCTACAGACATATCTTAGCCAACCGTTTGAGATGAAGAGTTTGGGTCCCCTTCGCTACTTTTTTGGGCTTAAAGTTTTTTATTCTCCCGATGGTTTCTTTTTGTCTCAGGCTAAGTATGCCTCTGATATGATTGCTCGAGCTGGTCTCACAGGCTGTCAGGTAGCCTCCACAACACTTGTCTACGACGTTCAACTTACCCCTCATGATGGCTCTCTTCTTTATAATCCTACCCTCTATCGTCAGCTTGTTAGGAGCTTGATCTATGACCGTTACTCAAAAAAATATCACTCATGCAGTCCATATTGTGAGTCAGTTCATGGCCGCTCCGAGGATCTCTCACCACTCTGCCGTCTTAGATATTCTTCGCTATGTGAAAGGTACTCTTCTGCATGGCTTACATTTCTCCTCTCACTCGTCTTTGACTCTCAGCGGTTACTCTGATGCTGATTGGGTTGGTGATCCCACCGATCGTCGTTTGACCACTGGTTTTTGCTTCTTCCTTTGTGATTCTCTTATCTCTTGGCACAACAAGAAACAAACTTTGGTTTCTCGCTCGAGTGCCGATTCAGAGTATCGTTCTCTTGCTGTCTCTACTTTATAATTTTTATGTCTTCGTCGACTACTCAGTTATCTTAGCGCCACCCAATCATCTTTTACGGCTCTTCACTGCGATAGTTAAAGTTCTATGAAGATGACCCATAATGATACCTTCGACGAGCGCACCAAGCATATTGTGCTTAATTGTCATTTCATTCGACAACATATTGTCAATGGGGGAGTTCATCTCATTCCAGTATCCTCTGGAGATCACACAAGATCTATCTTCACCAAATCGCTTCTTTCAGGCCACTTCCGATTACTCTTGGACAAACTCAAGTTAGTCTCTACTACCCATCTTGAGTTTGAGAGGATATTAAATTTAGATATCTCTTTGATATTATTTTGTTGGATTTAGATATTTGTTTGATATTATGCACCTTAATTAGTTTAGGTTCGAATCCACTACTGTATATATAGTCTTGTAAACTCTTATTTTTAATAATATATTTTCATCATTTTCCCAAAAATTCTAAAATGTTCATTTAAATCCGACACGATTCTCAATACATATAAAATATATATGATTTTATATTTTACAAAAAAAAATTAACATTCAACTTAAAATATTTTTTAATATTACTAACATTATTTCATATATATATATATGTACGGACAAATGCACCCTTATTTGACCGGTGACAAGTGCCAGAAGTGATTTTAATCGAGTAAATTTTTTTTCTGACCATTAGTTAAAGTCTAAATATCACAATTATCTAATTAATTTAAAAACAATTAATGACTCATTTAAAATTTGAAATGTCATAATTATTCATTAATTAAAATTGAATCCAGTTATAAAAAAAATATTAATTTACATTTTATAAATATAATTATAAAAAATTATTATTTTTTTTTATAACATTATCAATATTTATTTATTTATTTTTATTAAAATTTATCATTACGGGTTTGGTAATTGAATCCGTAGACTCTTAGATCTATTTCACAATAAAATTAATTAATTAATTTTTTAAAAAATATTTAAAAAATAATAAAAACTACATTTGAACATCACAATTATTCCAATATTTTTACAATTAAAAAAAAAAATCTCAAACTCCTAAAATATTAAAAGAACATAATTTTGGAATCATCAAAATTATATAAGTGCAAAGCCTTTGCTTCTCCCGATCTTGTAACCAATCGTTTGGATCATAATCGAGATGACTACAAGAATTTTGAATTAATAATAAATATTACTTCATCGATTATTCAAAATATTTATGCTTTTTTTTTTTTTTTTTGACGTTTGTTGAGATATTTTAGATATTTAGTTTTACATTTAGGGTATGTTTGTTGGAGGGATTTTGCAAAAAATTCATTATTCATCCAAAATTTTCTCTCTAAAAAGATCAAATCAAACACCTATTTTTCATTTTCTATATTATTTTAAAAATCAATTTTACATTGAAAACATCACATCAACACCTATTTATATCACATCGTACATCTATTCCAATTTAAAATTTTTACTATTCAAATCCCAAATCAAAATCCAAACCTCTAAACAAACACATCCTTAGTAGATTTATATTTAGATTTGGTCTTATCCATATATTAGATTACTTAGATTTGAGTTTATCGAGTCTGTTTTGTATTGTCTATATATATAGACTCTTTATTTTGATGAGTAATATTTTTCCCCCAAAATAATCTAACATGGTATTAGAGCCATAAACAGAACTCTCAACACTTTAGAGTTGGAAACATGACTCGCGCGCTCACAACAAAACTAGAGCAAAAAATAGGACTCGCTCACTCTATAGAGCTAGAGTCTGAAACAGGACTCTTTAACTCTCAATAGAGTTGAAGTCGAAAACAGAACTCTCAACGGCATTAGAGTCGAAAGTAGACTTGGATGTACCCTGAGAAAATTTGGCTCTGATACCATGTTATAATATTAAACTGAAATCCTCTTTTTCAATCATAATAATTCGTACATATTTATAATGCCGTACAAATTATCTAAATAAAACAAGAATCCTACAAATCTCTTAAATAGGATAATTATCATAAATATAATATATTACTTCTAAATATATTTTAACAACGTTATAAATAATTATTTCTTATTTTATTTTTCATGTTATTTTTATTATAAAAGATAGAAAGCATCGATTATTACCTATTTACATGAAAATAAATAATCAGTATGCGATTGTGAACTGGTGTAGAAATGCCTGTTTTGGTGATTATGAGATTTAGCTTCACTTTCTCGCATTAATTATATGCTAGATTATTAATTTAGATTGGAAAAAATATGTGCATTTGGAAGTGAAATTCTCATATTAACCTTACTTTATATGAGTAATTGATTAAGACATGCACATGTCTCATCAAACAATTAAATTAAATATTAAAATGTAATGAATAGGTTATGGTGGTATAACAACTATAACATCAATTTGTGGTCATCCAAGTGCCAACTAAAATTCACTATGTGTTGTAAGTGTGAGTGCATTGAAAAATCAATCAAGAAAAGTAAATCAAATTGAAAAAAAAGAAGGAATTTCTTGCCCATATATATATATGGTTACCTAATCAAGCACATGTAAACATATTTTTTTTTAACATATTATATGCACTGTTAAATAAAAACAAGTTTTATATATATACACATACAACGGTTAGGGTGCTTATTTGAAAAATTCAGTACTGTGCTGATTTTTCACAGCACCCGTAATATGTATAAACAACACAATTATATTATACACAACATATGTTGTATATAGTAAAGACATGTACTGTTAGTTTATAATTATAAGTATGTTGTATAACAGTATGTGGTGTGCTGAAATAACCTATTATTTGTGTTGTATAAGACTATAATTATAAGTGTGTTGTATAACACTATATAGTGTGCTGAAATCAACTATTATTTGTGTTGTATAAGACTATAACATATACTATTAGTTTATTTGCTGTATTTGTATTATACGAACACATACAGTGTGCTACCTATAGTAACACCGTGTACTGTCTGATAACACACAATGTGCTGCAGTCTATTATCAACATGGTGCTAAATCTTCCGGACCCTAGCCGCCTCCATAAACACACCTATATTATATAAATATATTATGTTATATATTGTAAATAAAAAAATTGCATTTATATTATCGTGTGTTGTTAATTTATAATTAAAATAACAACCGAGACACATATATATATTGAAGATAGTTATTGTGCTTATTTGTCGTAATAAACACATGTAAAATTGACAGATAACTTTTATTTTTATTTAAGATATCATATATTGTATTAAATATAAAAAAGAAAAAAAAGTTTAGGGGTTCGCATATAAGTATATTGTATAACAATATAAATATATTTGCTATGATGAACTCAACGATAATATATATTATATGTTGTCAGTTTATATTGTATATTTATATTATCATTTATTGAATTTACACTATAATATTCTCATTGTCCCAACTAATTTCTCTATTTTAGTTGGGATACTGAATTTTATGTACGGTGTAATTAGTATTTAATTAAAAAGTATATTAGTAAAAATAATTATAATATAATAAAAATAATGGTAAAGTTTGCAAACACCATCTTTATAAAAAAACTGATGTTTGGTTCTAGCCTAAATTATGCAAGTTTTGTACAACTAAAAAATTAAAAATGTAAAATATTTTAATTAATTTTTTTAATAAAATAAATAAATAAATAATTGTTTAATCATTTATTTTTATAGTTTTTATAAAAATCAAATAGCAGTTTGACTCAAAAAATTATAAAAGGAAGGATTAATCAATTATTTATTTATTTATTTTATTAAAAAATTATTTAAGACATTTTGTCTTTTTTATTTGTATAAAACTTGTCTTTATTTAGAATCAAATATAGTTTTGAACAAAGAGGGTGTTTTTTGTACATTAACACAAATAGTTCACGCAATAAATAAAATACGATGTATTTTGTGCATTTTTACTAAAATAAAGGGGGTATTACATAATTTATCCTAAAAATAATTAAAGATTACTATTAAGATGACTAAATAGTTTAATCAAAATAAAAAAAATGTACATTATAAATTTTAAAATATAATTAAAATATATAATTATATTTTCAATAAAAAAGATACAAATTATGTGAGACATACCAAAATAGAAAAAGATGTGAGACGAGGGAGGGAGTATCACATTATATTTATATATATATTTCACAACAAAGAAAGGGTTTTCATTCCCATTTCCAACAACTTTCTTAGAAACTTTGCTACCATACTAATCTCCTCACACACCAAAAACTAACCAAGACGACTTATATCGATGAGATTATTACATCACATTCTTATTCTCTTCTCCCACTCACTCCCCCACATTCCTCACTGATGATATTCATATGAAGAGTTCCACAAAGTCCAAGATGTCGATGACAAGGACGAGAACCGACAACTCTCCAGGGGATCGACCAAACGGCGAAAAGAACAGCTCAAGCAACAGCACTGTTGAAGAAGTCAGCAACAACAACAATAGTAATAGTAATAGTAATAGTAATGGGAAGAAGCTGTCGGGATCTGTCGTCCGGCAATATGTCCGGTCCAAGACTCCTCGTCTGCGCTGGACGCCCAACCTCGAACTCTGCTTTGTTCATGCTGTCGAAAGATTAGGAGGCGAAGAAAGTGAGTCTGGCAGCCTTCAGTTTTTGTAAATTTAATGTTGTCTTGATTAGTGAATTAGTGTTTTTGTGTCTGATTGATGATCCAGGGGCCACACCTAAACTGGTTCTTCAGTTGATGAATGTCAATGGCCTCACTATTGCTCATGTCAAGAGCCATCTTCAGGTCTCTCTCTCTCTATCTCCCTCTCTCTCTATATATATATTGCTATCTTCGATTTGCTTCATTTGATGCTCATATATGATTTATGATCCTCAATCAGATGTACAGAAGCAAGAAGATTGATGATCCCAGTCAAGGTAAATTAGGGTTTTTTCTTTTGCTTGAGACGATGATTCAAATTATTCAGACCTAATTTTGGGGAAATTCATGTTGATCTGTTTCAGAGCAACGCCTTCTTGTCGATGCTGCCGGAGATCGATGCATTTATAACTTCAGCCAACTCCCAATTTCCAGCCTGTGGTATGCTTTACAACACTTGAATGCTTCTAATTCCATTACCTTACTATATCATCTTTCTTGCAAACCCTAATTGAACACCTTTTAATTACTTTATTTTTTCCACAGTTCTTTTAGCTATACAGATTCACTTTACTTTGGCCAATCCACTTCAACGACTAATTACAGTTCTTACAACAGCAATCGGGTATCATCAAACATGCCCCAAAACGTTCTTCCTGAATCAACATCCTCGAACGGCAACAACATCGTCAATAGATCATACCTCTCAAGAGCTTCCGATTCCCATCCAAGTTACATTGCAAATCATTCTTGGAAGTTTCTAGAGAATGAAAGAAATACGTCCATGGAGGAAAGATATTTTCAAGGCCTAATCACAGCGCGAGACAACAAAATTCATTCACAAAGGCCTTATTCATTACACAGCGAAACAGCGACAAAAGCAACAGCCTTGCTGTCTGAACAAGAAGGGATTGGGAATTCAAAAAGAAAGGCTGATTCAGATGATGTTAATCTGAGCCTGTCGTTGGGAGGGCGAGACTATAAGAAACCAAACTTGAGCTTGAATAACATCGACGACGCTGATGAGGTAGACAGCAGATTATATTCATCCTTGATTTCATCAAAATCAAACAAAACTAATACTGTTGATGTCGGGGAGGATCCTACCGGGAAGGAGAGTTGTAGTTTAGATCTGAGTTTGTGAATGGGACAAATTATTTGTGTCTGAGTGAGATTTTCAAGTACAACATTTGCCAACGCCAAAGAACGTACAGATCAGACACTCATTGTTATCTGCAAGGTATTATAATTTACATTGGTTAGTTCCTTTGCCAGTTAATATAATATATAATATAATATATATATATATATATGTATAAATGTTATTGATTAATATGCATGCAGGGCTACAGGCATATATGTATGAATATTTTTGCATTGGGCCAAGGGCTGCAACTAATCAAATTGAATTGCAGATCTCTGCCTCAAGATTCATTAATTAAAAATGATATGAATAAAATAGTTATATGTTATTGTTTTCTCTCCTTGTAGAGGTTTTTCTAGGAAGGAATCTTTTTATAATTATTTAGAGGTGGTGGTGCAAACTTTTTTATGCTAATGGATTTTATTTTATTTTTTTGAAATAATTATGTTCAGTGGATATAATTTTAGTCATACATAGTAGATATAGTGTGGAGTGTATTAATACTTATATTCGAAATTGCATTTTATTTGAATTAGAATTAATTACAATTGTTACAAACGAAAAGGTTGTTATTAGAATCAATTATGACCACCTCAAATAGAAGGTTTGAAATCAGAATAAATTAAGGTCGTAGTTATGATAAAAATTGATCCCTTACCATTTTGGCCGAGTGAAAATGCCTATATAAAGGGTCTCTCCATTTCATTCTAAATACACCAACAATATTCTCTTATAATTCTCTCATCTCTTATAACTTTTCGAAAACCTATCCAACTCAGTTCCTCTCTCGTTTTGTTTGCCGTATCTCCGACGATATGAGGTGCAACTCTCATCAGAGATGGAAACTATTTTATAACATTCTCCCCTTCTTCTCTCATCTCTTCTAGCTTTCCGGAAACCTTCTCAACTCAGTTCCTCTCACTTTTTGTTCGCCGGAGCTCCGATGATCTGAGGTGCAGCTCTCATCGGAGACGGAAACTATTTTATCTTTGGATTAGAAAGCGGCCATCGAAGGCGCTACCGGGGCATATCTAATTTTTGAAAAAGAGGATTCATCATCGACTCGGTTTTACGGTACATTTACTTCTGGCATTACCCATTTAACTAACAACTTTACAAACTATTTTGCTTACAACAAACTGATGAACAACCACTTTCAAGTCTAAGCTAGACAATTTCTTGTATAATAAAGCGATGACATCCTGAAACTTTAGAGGAATTTGTAGGTAGGTGTCGACATTGTCTTCATTGAACTTTGTGCACATGTATACATTCTTTGAGTTATCTTTGCCAGTTAGGTTGACTTCTTGCAATTTGTCACTTCAGCTTTGACTTTTTCTTCAAGCTCAAGAGGTGGAATTCAATTGTTTATTCCAACCATGCATCTTTCATCATTTTTAAGTGACATGGAATGATAATGAACAATTTCTTTGTAAGTGTTATCTATAATGTGTTGGCCTTTATGTAAATGATGTTTTGACATTTGGATTGTGAAAATTTACAATAATACATCATTATTCTGTTTGACACTTGTGTTAGTGCATAATCGTTGGACATTGTGATGTAAGAAGCCAACTCCTTTGAATTTTTTTACAGCGGAACTATGCTACCTTAATAAGTAACACAACTGTTAACATGTGGTTATAACATCCATTTGTGTAAGTGAACATAGGCCAATGGCAAGACAAATGCAAACATAAATAAAAACATATAGTATTTGTTCACTCAGTTTGGTGTTAAATTTTATATTTAAAGGATGCCGATCTAGGTCTTTTTCACTAAAATCAATCAAAATTAAAAATAAATCCACACAACTCTTTGAAATTTATTTTCTTGCTTTTAGTGTCCTTTCTTTTTGAAAATTTACAATAAAAACACCAAGTATATGATGTTTTGTAGCATGTGAACTATCTTTCTTATAGAATTTTGCATACTTTTTGGATTTTCATCAACTTGATTTTTTTTTTTATCCAATCTCCAAGGGATGTTCGATGAACATTGGAACATCATCAAAATTATGTTCTTCTAGTCGTTTGTTTTAAGTTAAGAATAACAGGTTCATTTTTAATATTATAATCTTTTCAGCAGTCAAGTTTTCATCAGTGTAATCAAATATAACATTCATTTATTTTATTACCTTTTCAATTCGATGATTGAACACTCTATATGCATTGCTCTTAGATGAATAATCCAAGAAAATACCTTCATCCGGTCTTGAGTCGAACTTGTTTAATTGTATAATGTCGTTTAAAATATTGTGCTTCATTAAAAAAATATATGAAAATAAGAAATGTGAAACTTTTTGCCTTTTCATATTTCATAAGGGGTCATTTTATTTTTGGGATACAAGTATACTAGATTAATTGCATAACTAGCAATATTCATAGTTTCTGCCCAAAGACTTTTGTTCGTATCCTTGGCTTTGCATCATTGATAGCCATTTTTTTTAATAAATCTATTCTTTCTTTCAACAATCCCATTCTTTTTGGGGTTTTTTAGGATCTGAATATTCATTATATATACCCAAGTCTTTACAAAAAAACCTTAAAACGTTTATTTTCAAACCTCTTACCATGATTACTTTGAATTTAATTAACTTTCAAATTTTTCTCATTCATGACTTTTCGGCATAGTTTCTCAAATACTTTAAATGTGTCACTCTTTTCAATGATAAGATCAACCCTAGTATAACTTGGATACTAATCAACATAGATGAAAATATATATATATATTTTTTTATGTATATATTTTCAGTTTCAATCAAATGCATAAGATCCCTATCAAGTAATTCCAAGAACTTTGAGATAGCAGAATGTTTTGACATTTTATAAACTGCACATTTTTGCTTTCATTTTGCATAATCTCCACAAACTGATTTTGATGCATTTTTTAAATTCAGTAGACAACAAACAACACTTAATTTTCTCAACATTATCAATTTTTGATAATTTGCATGACCAAGTATTTTATTTCGTAAGCTCAGATCTTTATATTTGGTAATTAGAACTCGCATTGATGGAATTTTCAAGATATAACAATTTGTTCTTGATCTTTTTCCTTTCATGCATTCATTGGTAGCATCAAACACTTTATAGACATTTTTTGTAAATTTCACCTCCAAATTTGATTACAAAATTGATGGATACTTATGAAGTTGGTACTGATACCATTAACAAAGTAACATTTCTTTAACTTCAAAAGTCTTTCAATATCAAGGAATTCATATACTTTGATTTTTCTTTTGACACCATCAGCAAACATCACTTCGCCATCATCAACTTCTTGATAATCTTTAAACAATTTTATTTAATCTTATGTGAACAACAACCACCGTCAAAATATCATTTCAAATTATTTTTCACTTTTTGTATAGACAACACAACATTACATACTTTTAGATTGGTTATCTTTAGACCTTCATTCTATTCTGAATTTGATCTTTTCAGACCATCAGATATCCAAATCATATTTCTTCCATTCATTAGATCTCTAGAAATTTAAAAACATTCGTTAGCATTATCAGCAAGTAAAACACAATACGAAAAAAAATCTCTAGAGATCAAATAAATGTTTTGACAATTGTCTGACAATGAATATCTTTTTGAATTTTCTGATCATGCGGTTCAAGCAACAAACCACCACTAACAAAAAATATGAATTTTCTTGTAGAAGCACCCTGTGATAGCTCGAAATCGCATGCGTAAAATATTTATATTATATGTAACATTTGGTTGATTTTGATCGGATTCTATGTAATCTATGCGTATATTTTTTTATTTTTATTTTTGATATAGAAGAGCCGGATATTAAAATTTGTGATATTGGAGCAAAATAGAAGAAAAAAATCAACTTTGGATCACCTAGTTATCATGACCATGACTAACCCCACCTTCCTAACTTGAAAATTCAATTCAAGACCCAAAAATCCAACTTTACAATAATAGGGAAAAAAAGAGAAAATAAAGCGTTGGACATTGAGATGACAGCCAAGGCCAGGGCAAACGCGTGTAGAAGCAGGAGGCTGACAGACTCGTAGATCGTATAAGAGCAAATAATTAGCGAACATTTCCCTTCACTGTACATTATGATTTTATTTTATTTTTTGCATTCATTACTACTTGATTATGGAGTAGATATTTTTTGCTTTGATGGTTGATGATGTTTTGGTACTTGTGTTTTGGAGATTTTTTATTATTTTAGAAAAGTTCTTTACAATTATGTATTTTCTTGATTTTAGAAATAAAATTTATGACTGTTAGATTGGTTAAATATTTTGGTATTGGTATTTAATTTATTCTAATAATCTACACTTAATTCGAAAAGGATATCCATAATTATATTTGTATTTGAATATGTGACAACCAAGTTGAATTGTTCATTCCCAGAGGTTTCTAGATTAGAATGTAGTTAGGTAAAATTACATATGGGCTTACCTATGTTTATTAGATTAATTACGGGTAGTTAACAGGCGTACCTTAATTAATTGGTTGTTAAAGCTTTTTGATAACTATAACTAATTTATTGATAGTCAAATAAGAATTAGATTTATTAAATCGATGATAAACTGCAAGTACCATAACTAAATCCTCCCTTGAACTAGATGTTTTTATTAATTGACGGTTCTCCTTCGTTAGTTTAATTGTTCTACTATTTTTTATTGAAAAAAAAATACTCTTTTTTATTTATTGCATAAAACACAGAAAGTGAATCACATCATCCATGTAGAGACAATCTCTTCCTCATGTTATGTATTACATTAATTTGTGACCACAAAATAGGTAATTATTTGATTGACTGCGCAACTGGTCACCCTGATATCCTATACTACTTTAATCACCAAACATTTTTCCATGTGAAAGGATAGCATCGGGCTTACCTTTTCTTTTGTTGAGACGATCAACTTTGGTTTGAAGTTTAGAATTAAATTTTTGTATACCGTAATTTTTATCAGTTAGATACATAATCACCCTTTATAGTCTAATATTTCAAATAACCTTTTATAGTCTAATATTTCAATTTTTCTTTAACTTTATTTGTGCTTTCCGGTTGATCAACCAAATCAATCATCTTATCATTCTTGGCTACCTCAACCTTTTCTTCAACAACCAAGTCTTCATTTAATG